TGAAGCATGTACCTGATCCTCCTCCATTAGTGTTTTTCTATTCCTCCGTCGTTTCGATCCTCTATATCATCAAAAGGGACCTTATACAAAACTCTCTGACCATAGATACTCAACGGCAGATTATTCTTTAACTATAAAAACAATGCAGATGGTCGAGTTTCAAGATATCGATAACCTCCACCTACGTACATAGCTTTGCCACCAACCATTTCAATCTTTCCACCATAGTAACAACCGAATATTTCTGTTGTTGCGACCAAACCAGAATATAACAAGTGATAACAACAATCAAATTGCCCCTATTCGAAACCCACAAACAACTAATTTCTTACTTTCGATCTCTCCTTCTATCTCTCAACCTTCCAAAATTTGTTTCCCTCCCCCCAAACCAAACCCGATATATGAACCCTAAGTTTTATTGAAAAAAAATTTCTCCAAATCATAAAACGGCACTGTTTTATGAACTGACCATAAAAAAAAATTTATCAGATCCGAAAAAGTTAGCCACATGTCCGTTAACGGTTTTGTGTGAATTGACCAAGTTTTAAAAGATTATGTAGTAAATTCAAAAAACATACGAGTTCATGTGTGTTTTGGCCGGGTTCAATACTTCATGTATAAAAAATCAGCAACAATATAGTTCATGGAGGAATAGGCCGTTTTCCCTATGTTAGTGCTTCCAAACACCAAATCACATCCATACACTTGTACAAATAACAAGTGTCCTCCAGACCTCAGAGCAAACAAATTTTTGTCAGCCCTTCCTCTTATACATCCATTTGCTAGCATGTACTTTGTGATGTTATCATACCAGACACCTTTAGTCTGATTAACAGTACACACAACTTCTGTAGGATGTAGTACACGTTCAGCACACCCAGGCTCATGATCCAACACAGCTTCTTTAACACTCATATGATGAAGACGTACATTCAGAAAGCAAGCAACTTCAAGCAGAAGATGCAGAGATTCAAAACAGACAGCGGAAGCAACATTTTCATCAGAGTCACAGTCTTCTTCTTCGGAGTATGGCTGAGCTACAAGATGAGCCTTTCGCCTGACAACAGTTCCGTATTCATTAGTCTGGTCCTTACAGACCCACTTCAGAGTATTGCTGGTAACTTTATCAGACCTGCGAACAGAATCCCAAACACCATTTTTGAAGCACTGATTCAGCTCTTCTTGGCAGGCCTTGAGCCATCCTTCATTCTGTGTAACTTGACTGTCTTCATTTTCCATCAAAGTGACAAAGCAGAAGGACTTCAACGTTTCTCTATAGTGAATCTGCTTCACTTTTGTTATCTTCACTTCATTCATCCTGCCAACTATATCTGATGCAGAGTGATTCCTGTGATACTTCTTCTGATCAGACTCAATGATTTGGTCTCTGTTAGCAGAGTTGTCAAGAACATGCTTTGAACTAAAATCAGAATCCAGAAATGATACACTTTCTGCAACCTTCCTCAC